TAGGTACGATACACGTATGTACGTACAAGTAGGAACGTAATGATCGAATTGCATCAGCTTTAACATTGCGACAACGAGGAACACTAAAGTTTATTAGACTGGTCGCTACCGTAGCTCCAATGTTTCCATAATTCATAAAAATTGGTGTGATCAACGACGTTAGTATTTTTTTTATTCACTTTATGGCTCCATTCGATGAGACTGGACTTAGTTGACGCGATGAATCGTTCTCGTGGATTACAGTGCGTTTCGCGTAATGGAAACGGAAAATCCATGTTCGTTGTGAGTCAACAATTAAATACATATCGATCCTGTTTGTCAGTCGAGCTCGTTTTGTACCTTACTTTATTTTTTCTTTCCTCTGACTTGTGTTTCTGCCCCCCTCCTCTCTCTAACTCTTTTCATACTTTCGTACGATATGCATAATGGATACGATTGCACGTGTCACGGAAGGAAAAATTGTGAAACAAGACGATTATTCGATAAATAACTTTTTCGCGAGCTGTTTTTATAATCTCAATTATGGATATAGTTTATATGGATAAATGCTGTCTTTATTTATAATATATATTTCAAAGTTTTGATAATAAGAAGGAAAAATGTATATATAATAATAAATAAAAAAAATCTTTTTCGAATTTTGAAAAATTTGTTATAATGATAAGTAGAAGTAAGAGGATACAATACAAATATTTATATACATGTACAGAATAATATAGTTTATTTTTTTGTATTAACAGAATATAATATAATCTTTACGAGATTAATTATAAATAAACTTGATAATATTTTTACATCTAGATAATCCTTGGGATATATTTGATGATCTATGCAGATGATTTTAGAGATCAATTGATGTCTGTGCAAGTTAAGGCTAACTCAAGTGCAGAGATTATATATATATATATATATATATATGCATACACACACACACACGCGCGCGCGCGCATTTATAAAAAACTATGCGTATACATCTAACATGCCTTAAAAAAAGAGGAGAGAGTACATTTTAAAAAATGATGTAAATTTCTTATAAAATTTCTTTTATTTTATTTTCATTTTTTAAAATTTATTTGTTTGGAACTTTATTTTTGGAATTTTCTTTTTTATTTAATTAATTTTTCGTCATTTTTAGAAGGATTTGAACTTGCAAATGTAATCGCAGTGAGAACATTAGCGTCGCACACACAGCTATGTCGAGGTGTGGCTTTGAGGATCGATACTTGTGTTAGTTCTCTCTCTTTCTCTTTCTTCCTTTCTCTGCCTCCCTTTCTCTTTCTCTCTTTTTCTCTCTTTCTCTCCTTTTGCTTTCCTTCTCTCTTGCTATTATTATCGTACCATCAATTTTTTCCATTATCGCTGCATTAAAAAAAGTCATGCGTATTTATGTAATATTCTATTTCTCAAAATGATCAAAGCTTCTTAAAGTAGAAAATTGTTAATGAATTTTTTCAAATCATTTTTTATTTTTGATTCTTTCTTTCCACAAGGCTGCAAAATGTTTTTATAAAAGTATAAACTTTTTCAAGTAAAAACTCTTGTCAATAATATTCGCTTTAATATTCGAACTCGTTTTTCTAGTCATATCTTGTAAAATCGAAGAAGGGATCACAGAGTGAAAAGATGGATTCCGATCCCCTTTTCTCCAGTTCTCTCTTCTCATAGTCCCGCGAATGATTTGAAAAGGCTGCAGATGGAAAGATGATATTCATGTGAATTTAGAACACGCAGTACTTCGACTTGCAACTCGCAATCAATAATCGAAATATTCTTTGAATCGATATAACGATGGAAAATATTTATTTGCAAATTAAACGCGAAATTGGATATAAGTGTGTGAAAAATATGAAAATAACTATAAAAAGAAATTGATAAAAGATAATTATAAGCGAAATGGTATAATATTGTACAGAATTGGATATATTATGTAATTAAAGTATAAATTGTTTATAATTAAAGAGCAAAATATAATGGCTATTATTATATAAAGTAATTTAAAAATTGTTTTTTTAAATTAGTATAGGTATAAAATAGGTATAAATATCTTTTTTTAACGTACACTTTGATAATGTTTATTTTAGTTTTCTTCTTTTATTTCAGATTTCCGTTTAGATTTTATTGAATCGAACGCGATATAAGAAAAAGAAAACCCGGTTCTTTATAGTCTTTTGATTCTTCTAAAAATAAAAAGTGCGAGGGAAGTGTAAAGTTGTAGTCAACACAAACTTAAAATGTGTTCTACCTGTTTGTTTAATATTAATTAAATTTATTTATATTGTTATGAAATTTGTTACGTTTCTTTTGTCAATGATAAATACCTATACGTAACGTATTTATAACAATGTATACACATAAAAATGTCACGTATTTTAGATCATACCGATTAGTCTTAATACTATATATTGTTATGCAGTCTTTTTATTTATTGAGTTTTTTATTTACTGGAATTCTTGTGCTGAAATTTATTTTACGTTTTATCTTATTCAATGAATGTTTATCAGATATAATGAAACTGGAAGACGAATCTATCATTAATGTCAATTGTATTAAAAGTATCGATCATAATTACTGGTTTTCGTTTGCTGGCAAGATTTTGTGTCAAAGCGAGTTATCGTATTAACGCTGCGCGTTTACTATAAAATAATACTTCTGTCAAGAAAAGTTTTGCTCTCATTATGGCGGTATAGCAACCCAGTTCGTTGATCGATCTCGAAAAGGTACGCATAGAGGACAGCGCATTGCGGCGAAAATGCTGCCGAATAGATAAGACAAATGAAACTATGTTAGTGAAGGATAGAGCAAATCGAATTTTTCTTAAAATCTTTTAAAATATTTGGAAATAGTAATATTTCACTTCTATTAATTTTTTAATTATCTATATCTTATAATTATTATATATTGCTGAGTAAATAGGAATGCAAGCTAAAATATCAATAAATTGGAAATTTATTTGACTAAATCGTTTTTTTCAACAGACATCACAAATTTAAGTTAATTAGAAAAAGTTTGGAGTTTTCAATTTTATTTGAGTAGAGATTAAAATTCTATTTTTTTGCTTATTGTTGACATGTTGCTATACAAAAGATACGAATGTCTTGTGTTTATACTTGAACCTCGCCGACAACTTTTGTAATAAAGAAAACTCGTGTATTCATTAAGAAGCCGGATTATCTTGAGTTATTTAGCACGTAAAATAGCGTCTCGGCGTCGTGGAAGATTTCTTCGTGTCATTCGACGCATATCAATCGAGAATGATTCTTTGTATAATGAATACAGAGAAAAACATGTCATTGTATGAGTCATTGAATGACTTTTCGCGTATAAAAGAATAGGCCATGTCTTCATTTGACTTTGATTAAGCTCGAAGCGGAGCAAACTGCTTCTCGAATTAAAAGGGCGAGAGAAGAGTTCTTTCATTGACTTTAGTATACATGTAATTGTAGCAAATGCTGTTTAAACATTATACAAATGATTTTCTCGTACTCGAAAATTGATCTCTGTTTTGTAGTCTTCGACTTTATATGTCCAATATCCGTGTGAAAAACTATTTATTGCACGACCTAAATCTATTATACACAATTCGTGGTTCTATTTTAATTTACCGTATTACAAAATTGATTATTCGCTCTCTCTCTCTCTCTTCTATGTTATAAATCTTTAACACAAATATATTTTTTATGTATTTAATAAAAAAATTAATTAAAATAATGAACGAAAGATTAGACGCAAAATAATTTTTTATTTTTGTTTTTAATATACGTAGCGATAAAATTGATATTAAAAGAGAATATGATAGGATATTTTGAATATAATTGATAAATATATTTTAACAATTACAGATAATTTATCTTATTTGTCTTTACTATGCGCATTTTCATTATCCAATTATACAATTTAATTGCATCTTATTCATGATAAATGTTATAGTAAGCGACACTCTTTTTTACTTATATTCTTGCACATCCTTGAATTGAGTGGAGTTGAATCTAGTCGCTGTAAATCGAGTGCAATTGTTTGCCTAGTGTCGTGCGGACCGTTAGGCAAGTTAATTGACGACAATCGTTCTTCAAGAAGGCATCAGTTTGCATGATGATTATATTGTTCAGTAACAGTAAAGTGAATAATATCTGATGAGATAATGCCGTTACGTTTCCATTTGATAATATTGGACTCAACGATTTCGGATATCACCAACATACAGCAGTGTCGACTATCACGTTCATGAAATCTATATAACTTGTTAGGAATTGTCATTAAACTTATGGCACGCAAACTTGTGGAATTTAAACGGAGAAAGCTACAACTTGTTAGATATTGTCATTAAGCTTATATGGCACGCAAACTCATTGTTTAATGATATTGTTCTGCGGATTCAACCATTTCGGATATTACCGGCATGTAGCATCGATTATCACGTTCGTGAAACCTACATCATGTTAGGAATTGTCATCAAGCTTATGGCACGCAAACTCATGAAATTTAAATAGAGAAACCTTTACGATTATACACTCTGGTGTCGTCGATAATCGCAATCTCGATCAGCGTGGAAATGAATTTCCACGTTTCAATTGTGAAAAGTTTGATCGGATGTGCGCAATGCGGCAATCCAAAACTTGCTGGTGCAAAATTTAAATATGAGAGAGAAAGAAAAGAAAAAGTAAATAAAATATGAAATACAAATAAACAGTAGACATATGTATATAGAATTATGCATAATTATACAATATTACATTTGAAATATCAAAACTTTTTTTAAAATCTTATTCGTTAAATAAATTTTATTAAATTTTAACAAATAAAATCATGATAAATGAAAGAAAGTATAAAATAAAAATATACTAAAGAACAAATTTCTATAATAACATTTCGTTTCTATCATTGGTCCTTTTGTAGGATCCACTTAAAATATAAACGCTTAAATATAGGTAGATTCATTTAAAATACAAAATTGTAATAAGTACTTTCACAAACTTGACGTCTTGTCATCCTCTCTGTTACAGTGAGATTACATGACAGTATACAAGAGGAGAATTTCCATTATCTTGTCTTTGATCTGTAAGTATACCAAATTGTTATTTCTGACTGTTAAATGTTAAATTAAATTTTTTTATGTGTTTCTTGTGTGTTCTCTTCGGTGAGATTAAATTGGTTTTATAGAACTCGAATGGTAGTAATTGAAATCTCGAATGATTGTAATGACGATGCACAATTTATACAATTTATTTTAATGGCATTTCTAATATTTAATGTTTTCAGAATTGTATCACTTGTCATTAATAGTTAATCGATTGTTAATCAATTGTAAATCATATATGTGTGTCTTCATCTGATACGTAAGGAGAAGAAAGTATTGTAATCGGCGTTATTTATTTGTAAAAAATTACAATTATTATTTCATTTATATGAGAAGATGAAATATTATTATTTTAAAACAGAATAATTCAAAAATTTACTATTTTTTCTAAAGACCGAAAATTATGTCTATCTCTTTATTTTAAAATTTTTATATTTTCGATCAAAAAAACGCAACCATGTTGGGAGCACTTGATACGATTGAGCTGACAATAGACGCGATTCTCGAATCATCGGTCTGTATTCAGAACGCGCTTGTAACAATGTTAACGCGCATTTAGCATACAATTTACATTACATATGCTATACAGTTTCAGAAATAAAAGCGCGCATTTATCGATCAAAGCGCGTACTGAATACGGGTCATCACGTTCATCTATTAGTCTCGATTCCACTAACAGGCTTCTAGCAGCGGCGAACAACAGCGAGCCAATTTGTGAGCTCTAATTGCATCAAGTAGATACCAATCTGTGGCCTTTTAAAATCGTCAGCGATCTACGCACGAGTCAAGAAAATATCGCGCCTAATTTAATTTCCGCGCGAGAATATGCGCGACCACTTCGTTACGTTTAGATTTGTAACGTTAATTTACCGTATATACCATAAATCTCGTTTCTCCTTCTTGCCATGTGACAACGATATGACTTTGCTACTTTGCCACGTCGTCTGCAATTAATCTACAGGTTACAGAGGATTTAATTTCATCTATTCGTCTTTTGCTCAACTTTTTATTGACATGGCACGCTATTTTTGGTTTCGTCTGCCGAATGTTTAATATTCAAGCAGCTAATTATTTTTAATTCTATATATATATATATATGCACATACACACGATATATTGTATTACAGTTCTTTCACCGTTTTTATCATTTTTCACGCAGAAATTTTCTTTCAACTGTCAATTCACGTATAATTTTCTCTGGTAAATTTTATTGTTATCATTCGACTGTAATGTAGGTCTGTTGTATTTTAATATAATAGCTACCTTTAAATACTAATCAAGGAGATTTTACTTATACAATGTTATTAGCGCCGAGACACTACTGTGCCTCCAGATAAGATAAATCTTGCTACTTTTTGCACAACAAATTCGAATACAAGCGGTATCGCGAGAACACGCTTATGTTATATGAAGCATTTACGAAAATTCACGCTACTTTTATTTCCTGGGTTAAACGTCCCGCTACTTGGTGATATTACTTTACCACGCGATCTCGCGAAATGGAATTGAAACGTAAAACGCTTACAGAGTCACCGGCGGAGAACTGTTCGAGGACATCGTCGCCCGGGAATTCTACAGCGAGGCGGACGCCTCGCACTGTATTCAACAAATCCTGGAAAGCGTTCACCACTGCCACCATAACGGAGTTGTGCACCGGGATCTGAAAGTACGTAGAGAAAAAGGGTCGAGTTGCTACGAAAGGGTGAGCGTGCTACGCGAGTTTGTAGGGCCGAACGTTGAAATAAAACGAGAACACTGCGAACACCTGCAGCGCGGTCTATCCTTTCACAATGCACTTCCGTCCAATGCTTCATCTACCTTTCGCGATTTGCATGGGATATTTCAGACACTCTAAAATGTACGATAATAATAGAAGACGGTATTTTCAATCGTGTTCTCGATCAGAACTTAAAATTCACCGACATTTATCAATTTTCAGAATTCAGTAACTCTCTAATTTAAAATCACGTTTTCTATTAATTCCAACGAGGATATATATATTCCGTCTATTTTAATGTCAATGAAATCATGCGGAATGCTCGAATCTTATTCGAGTTTAATTTCAATCGAAATTTTGAGTTAATGAAGAGTTAATGAGTATCGACTCGATGTCGAGCATTTAACGACGAATTTTGTTTTGTCGACGGATCTGTGCCGTTTTCTGTTGCAGCCCGAAAATTTACTCCTCGCGAGCAAGGCGAAAGGGGCGGCTGTGAAATTAGCAGATTTTGGTCTAGCGATCGAGGTGCAGGGTGAAGCGCAGGCATGGTATGGTAAGTTGACCTATTTTTTCCGGTGAATTAATCCACTGAAACTTACACTTTGTCTTCACGTGTTGGTCTAGTTCTAACGATGATCGAAACGACCGTCGACCGAGCCACGCAAATAACTTGCAGGAATCTTTATAAGAAATTTCTCGCGGGAAGAGAAGCGTGTGTCATTTCGCAATTCTTTCATGGTATTCAACTTTCGTTCGATAACGCGAATTTTCGATCTTTTTTTTTTTTCGCAATCGGATGAGGACCGTTATGAAAACCGTTAGTTATCCACAAAAGTCAGGACAGAAATATAAAAAAAGAAATATAAAAAAAAATGACACATTGCGTTGAGAGATCGAACAATTTCTTTAATATAAGCAAAATAATTGAATTCACGAAATACCGTGGCTCAAGTTGCGAATTTATCCGACACTGTAATTTACAAGTGAAACTTAGTTTTCGTTCTCCGTAGTCTTCGTTCAAATATCGTTACAGTTGCAACTTGCATTTATATATTCTTCGTATCATATAATATATTATTTTCTTACAATAACACGTTAGGATTAGCGTATTGCAAGAAATGTCAATGATATATCGAAAAATTATTGCAAACTTATTTTAATAGAAACACTATTTTTTTTTATTATAGAAGAGTATCTTTCTCATATTTTATTTTATTTCTTCTTTGCGTTTTTTTTCACATATTTCCTTCGAGTATCTTTTTTTAACGTATGTACATCTCTCTGTCAATATTCGCTCGAGTGAGGAAAGTAAAAAAAAGATATGGACTGGAGTCTTATTGTTAAAATATATATATTTCGAAGAATTTCGGTATACTTCATTTTAAAATCTTAAATCTGTTCTTATAAACTATTTCGCGCTGCTGTTCGCATCAACTGTGCGAGCCGTGAACTTGAATCTTTCTGTCTACTTTGTGCCTTGTCCATTTGATTTACATACATTGTGCACTCAGATGTCTATACAAGCCAGCATATTTGCGTGCCAGCCAGTTGGCTACTCGTTTTGTTCTTCTTTATGCAAAAATACGCGTGGGGAAAATTTTCTGATAGCACGGTGAATTCTTCTGCGCATGCAGGCATTTCCATAAAGAAACTTCTGCTTGATTTTACATTCCTTATCGAATTTGAAAACAATCTTGCAGAAAATTTTGTCTCAAACGTTTATTTGCAGTGTGTATCTTCTGTGATATTTAATGTCAAATATCTTGAACATTTACATATAACACTCATCACTTAAATTCACGTTAACGTTTACACGATTTAATTGCTTTAGATTTTATTTTGCCGATTTGGTAAGTGCTTGAAATTTTTACTTTATTATTTTAAAAAATTATGGAATAATGTTTTTAAGACACTTCGTTTATTCTGATGGACCAGATATATGGATACAATTCCGTGTCCTAACAACACTTTTTCACTTCTCACTTTTATCGCCGCAATTGATTTTTTTTCTCGACCTGATGCTGAAAATATACACGCACTGTAAATTCGTCAAATTTATGTCAAAAATTATTAATATTATTCCAACGCATGGAAATTACATAGCTTGGCAAGGCAATTAAAGCGCAAAAGAATAAAAGACACAAAAATGGATAGTTTAATACAATTGAAATATATTGTTCGTAAAATCAATATTTATTTAATTATAGTTTTGTACAGAGCGATTATTTATTGGATAAATGAAATATATATAAATGGTCACGTGAAGAATAAAAATTTTCAATTCAAAAGAAATGTCACTATAGTTTTTACAAGCAGATTTCTCTGTACCCTTATAATCTTGACGGTAATCGTATTATTTATTTTTCCATAAATTTACTAAATATTTGCGAAAACATTTTTAGCGAATGGTTAACAAAATAATACGTTGAGCAAAATAATAAAGAGTTTAACGCGATCATTGACAGAATATTGCCGAGGGCAACCATAGACGATCTAATTGCGCAATTGTGCTTTTGTTGCGTCAAAGCACGACTGGCTACAATCATAACGGTTATGCAACGACGGTGTATGCTTATTGAAAATTAACGTGGCAAAGCGCGATAAAATCACCAATGTAAAATTTAAAAAATATACTGACCGAGTTCTCACGCATAGCAGAATTGCGTTTTTCGCATGTCATTAATAGCAAAAATTTTACTGCTCTTTTATTTTTTTTCACTATTATTATTTATACAATTTTTGATACACATTGTTTGAAGGAATAAATTTTGCGTATCGTAAAATAAATATTTACTAGCTTTCGTAGCCACATATGAGCCACAAATCTAATATCTAATCAACGAGCGAAAAATCTGTAATTTATGTTACAATAGACACTATCTCGCGTAGAGATATGCTTTTTTTCACACATCATAGTGATTATTAATTTATTAATAATCAAATTATTTAAATATACATATTTTAATGACAACTGATACACAATAACATGCATCGATTATCGCCATCGATTATCTAAATTACCAATATTATAATATAAGAATGTCATTTCCTCAAAAATTTTCCAACTTATTTATTAATAAATCAACAATCAAACACACAAAAACGTAATAAAAGTTTACGAGCGACTGTCGTGTTTGCTTTCCGAATAAGGAGAATTAATTGAGATGAGAGATAATACTCGGGACGTGAGTTCGCGCACGTAACGCCCTGATCCTTTCGATCCTTCATACGATGTCGTGTCCTTCAAATGGGAATGTATCGAAATTATTGATAAAAAGGTTTCGCTGGAACGCCCGGCTACCTCAGCCCGGAGGTGCTGAAGAAGGAGCCATACGGAAAACCAGTCGACATATGGGCGTGCGGTGTCATACTGTACATCCTTCTGGTCGGTTATCCACCCTTTTGGGACGAGGATCAGCATCGGCTCTATGGACAGATCAAGGCCGGATCGTACGATGTATGTATTATACGATTTATTCAGCTTCTTTTAGCCAACAACTTTTTATACCAACATTTGCTAAACTTGAAGAAAAACGATGCGTTAAAGAAATAATTTATTTTTTGAAAAAAATTCTATATATTAAATTTATCAAAAACAACACTTTCTGTCGATTTTTTACAGTAACTTGTGTAATTGTCTCATTTTCTGTGTATAAAGAATTATGATTAACGTTGTTACGTTTGTTTCGTGTATAGTATCCGAGTCCAGAATGGGACACCGTCACGCCGGAAGCCAAGAACCTTATCAATCAGATGCTGACGGTGAATCCAGGAAAGAGGATCACTGCCAGCGAGGCACTGAAGCATCCATGGATCTGCGTAAGTTTATCTTATCGAGGCGAACAATTTTGTTCAAATTTATATTACACGTTTATATAATTCAGAGAATAACTTAATCATATTAGAATATTAAATCATATTAGATTATTAGCAACGAGATCTTATTGCACGCGAGTATTGCATTTTTATGTGATACGTAATGTATCGTACGTCACATGTATATATGCAATTTAATACATTAAAATATGGTAGTTATTAAATTGACTAGATTAAAAATGTATATAGATTGATAAAATAACGAGATATACATATATACTTCTATCGATAATAATAACGCAAGTCAAACAATCGTTTGTTTTTTTTATATTCTCAAGCATTATTATTCATGTTGACATAGCTTGTCTCTTCTCTGCATAGAATTTTATTTTTAGCGAAACTTAAGATTTAATCTCGAATAACTTGAATCATTCTCTTCGAACGATGCCTGATATCGTTTCCTGTTTACTTTGTGTTTCAGCAACGTGAGCGTGTTGCATCCGTGGTGCATAGACAAGAGACCGTGGATTGCTTGAAGAAATTCAATGCAAGGCGCAAGTTAAAGGTGAGTTTCTCAAAAGTTTTGTTCCATGTATACGTTTATTCAATATGATTGATTACATATCATTGCCTTAAATTTCACTATATCTGCCTGACAATTATACAATTTCGGGATTTTCCATTATGAATTCGTGGTTTGTTATTTAAATGGCTCGATTATTTCAGAAAACCAGTTACTGGGCAATAAATGAAAATACATTTTTCTGTTTGCGTGAAACAGTAAAATTTAAAATAAAAACTGGAACTTTTCATGAATATTACGTGAATTTAAGTGTTTAAAAATATGAAATACATTTATACTCATTCGGATAAACAATCGTTTTGTTATCTTCCGTAATTTTACTGTTTCCGATGTTACATTTGTCTTAATTAGTAGTCGGATTGTATTCGATTCAAATAATCGTTAAATTACGAGATAAATGGAAATTGAAATTCGCAAGAGGTTCATTTCGAGAAATATATATAGGTATAGGAATGGTATAGGTACGAATATAGGCTTTTATGAGAGTTGTCGAGAGATTTGTCGAAATTTGTTTGATTCGCGATTATCAATTGCTAATTTTATAGTTCATGGAAATGTATGACAGTAATCGCGCCGTAAATTCTCATTCTCGCCTGCCGCAAAATCTCATATATTAGCTCCGGCCATTTACAAATGCAAATTCCATTATGTCCGCTTATCACATTGCGGTCTGGATTGCGTTCGCGCAGAGTTGCGGATGTTAGTAACATCTGTAAAATTAGAACATCATGACGCATCGTGGCCGGAGGTATTGTAAATTCTTATCAATTCTTTCTCGGGAGGCATCGTCAATTTCGCGAAATATACATTATATAACGTTTCAAGAAATCTGCTAAACTTGTTAAAACGTAAATCATATATGTGAAAAATATCTCAAAGAAGAAGAAATTTTGTATATAAAAAAATTTTATTTTTTGCAATGACATAGTTCTGTATAACATAGTTCTTGTATAACATAATTCTTTTTTTATTAATGAATAATTAATGAAAATTGTAACTTTTATCTATTTATGGTCTCAAGATTTAGTATACTAACAAGATTAGTGTACTAATATTTCAATGTCAAAAGTGATTTATGATTTAGAGAAGTAATTGAAAAGTGAAAAAAATTAGTGAAGAGTTTCGAAAATTTTTAAAACAAAAGCTGATAAGCTGTCGATTCGATCAAGGATCGATGATGTCTCCCTACCTAGTCCGTTCCTACGGCACTGTTCAACAAGTCACTGACGATTAAACGATGGCACGCATCGAGCAGTACGACTCCACTTGTCGTTGCAATCGCCGCACTCTCGACGCGGTGTACGAGAGCAGAGAGTGCCGCTTTTGTATCAAAGCCACGTGTGTTATAACGTTCGTTCGCTGTTATCGAAATGCGTCGAAAACTTGAGGCACGTGCGAGGACAACGCGTATCCCTGTCAAAGGATTTCGATTTAATTGACTGTGAAACAGAATGCAAGAACTCCGCGAAACATTAAACGTTTGTAAAGATGGACATCGGGAAGAACGTGAAAAATTCAATTATCTCTTAAATTTCATTTGATTTCATTGATTTTATCGAGAATTAGCGTATAAGTGAGCAGTGCGATTTATAATATTTTTTTCAGTATAATTAATTCAGTATAATTTTTGTTCTGTGATGATTATATAGTTGTTGACATTTACAAATTTTTTTTTAGATACAGAATTTCTCAAACTCTAATAATTTTTTATAATAGATATATTTATTTTAATTGTCACTGTAATTTATTTCTTTAAATTCTTATTATATGTATTTTTTTTTGTCTCACGCTAAAGTTTTAAATTTTCGTATATTGTATTTGTATGTTGAGCTAGAAGTTTTAAAGGAAAATACATCTCAAATTTCATATTTCATATTTTAACAAAATTACGCGGGTTTTAATTAATTTTAATGTTCATAAAAATATTATATATTAATATTATATATTTAATCCAATTGTCTTTATTAAATGTGGATCACAAAGATTCATGTACCATTTGCTTTTTTAATGTAAAACTACATTTAGTTAACTACAGCAATGTTTATTTAATTGAAACATTGGTCTGTAAGAATTATATTCTTGTAAGTTACGAGCAGAATCGGATACACAATTTGCAATTTCAACCTATTTCTTCATGCTTACAGTCCCAATTGAACGATATAATCACGACAACACTCATAGTAGTCGTTCAATGTCCGAACAAAGCGCCAAGAAAACGTTTCATTATTTGATATGAACGACGACGTATGAACGGTTATTAAATGTCCAACAATAATGGCTCGCAATCGCGATTACACAACACGTGCACAAGTCTTATCGTTTGTGCATAATATTTGAATCGTATGGTTACTGTGGTTAATATGATAACATATGATTTATACAATTCAATAGCGTTTTTAATATTGAGAATAAAGTATGTTTCTTTGTAAACGAGGAAAAAAGTATTGGCTCTTGTAGAAAGATATTGATGTTTTAATATTAGAAAAATCTCGTTATATATATTATTTTGTAAAAATTTAATTAAATAATTTTTTTATGCGCGCGCGCGCGCGCGCGTGTGTGTGTGTATCGGTCGAATATTATTTTTGATATAAAATAATGAAAAGATATTAGGTATTACATTTGCCAAATGGATTTTCATGTCATTGAAAAACAACATTATTATAATGTTGTTTAATAATAGATAATTTTCATGCGTTCAGATGAGAATAATGCATTTCGAAACCGGGTCGAATTACATTAAAACTTGCTTCTCTCGCGAATGGTACTTGATATCGTTATCTTAATAATAGTCAACGATAGCAATCGATCAAGTTCATGTTCGTCTATACTTTTGCGTGACGTAATTATAATTGGGTACCTAGGTTAATTATATATAACATTTATTCAGTCACGATGATCGTATTTTTTTGCGCGAGGTTGCCTCTGTAAGAATCAAATATCACGGCAAACCAATTATCAAGCTCTTCCATAATGAAATGAATGAGTGGCCGGGAACGTCATAAGTATTTGAAAATTGTAATTTCAATAATACTACCAATAATATCTTGTTTCTTTTTAATTTTCATTTATAATTGTTCATTTATATTTTATAAAATAATAAAGACAAAATATAATTTTGAAAAAAATACTTCTTTTTTATATTAATTGACAAAAAATTATTTCATTGTTGAAATCGGTGAGATTGATGTGCAATCATATAATGATAGAATTATCTCTTTACATGGCGTGATAAAGATAGAAAAGTTTTTTTCCTCATGATTTTAACAACAATAATGATTTGATTTTGTCAATATTATGCAGTAATAATAGATAAGTCCATGTTTATATGAAACAGTATAATTAGAAAATTTTGTAATTTCTATTATAATTTATATTACTTGACTTGGAGAAATTGATAATGCGGTTTCTGTTTTGTCACAAAAGACAAATTACCTTATAATTATCAATTTATATTCATTATTAGAGACTCAATGAATTTTGAGACACTTACGTGATCTTGCTCTTCTATCGTGTTTCTTCAAATTCCAGTTTTATCGAAATCATAGTAGCGACCTCGCGTTAGAGACAAGTAATCAGTCAAGCACAGAAATGACGGGGACGTCGAAGCAACCAGCTGAATACTGATTAAATCCTGACTCATAAAAGTGCAAATGCCCAGTGAGGAAGTTTAATGACACTCTCCGCTTGTTCGTTCGTTTGTTCCCGCGCAGATTGAGACATGCGAGCACTGAGGAATAAATTTATATTGTGTAGACAATAGGAGGCAACCGTGTCTGAGATAATGAAATTTTAATCACTGTCAGTTTGACGTCTGGCAACATGCTATCATTCGCTTTAGCGTTAGGTACGGTGAAAGTATACGAATATCGATAATACGACATTTTCATGATATTTACATTGTGTTCGCTATATACAAGATGACATAGAATTATTTAGGACTGTGAAATATTCTATATATTAAGTATAAAACAACGTCCATCGATTTACATAGGTCGAATGATTTTCAATTAGCGTTCTCTGTTGCTCTATATATTTCTAAAAGTCTAATAATACGAGTAGAGATTGATATAGATCAAACGATGAAAAGAGAGAAATGTTTCAGTTTTTATATGTGAAAACGCTTTTATATTGTATCATGACAAAAACGAGATATCCATTTTAATATGGAATAGTTTGGTAACAAAAAGTAAAAATTAATTGTTTTACTTTTCTTCTAAAAGGATTACTATTTGTTTTTAATTCAATTATTGATATTATTATTGTTCGTCGTAATATTGTTAATTAATTTAAACGCATTAAAAAGTAAAAGTAAGTATGTAACTAATTATGCGCAAATTCGTAGTTACTAGTTTGTCTAACATTTAGTGTGATTAAGTTAGATTTATTAAAATTCCCAAAGAGGAAATAGAAGAGATAAAATTGCACTTTATGACTGTGAAATGTTGAGTTTGGTTTGAAATTTCCAAAGTATCTTCAAAAAAAAATAATTGTGACTAAGAGCGTAAAGATTTTCTTTTATGCAATTGCTGCCGTGTAAAAATTTGACTTAATAAAAACAAATTCCGGGATTAATGTAATTTTGTGACACTATTTAAAAGTTTGATAGTATTCTGCTCGTATAAGAGATGTAGATAATATTGATAAATATTCTCTATCAAGACTTTGTTATTTAATTAGTCGCGTAATTCGAATGTAAAACGGAAATGAGCAATGTTACTAATCGGGCGTGATTTGAAACAGACGGGCGAGATAGAATATCATTTCATTTCAGAGATAACAGACGTGGAATATCCGTTCGAACACATTTGCGAATCTCATCCGACGGACGGCCTTATTACATAAAGTTCGGCGACGCATCTCGAACTGTTTGCTATGGAACACAGTGAAATGTTGTCATTCTGTGCGACAATGTTCCCAACTTGCCGCGAATGTCACCAAGCTTGATGAAAGACGAGAGTTTACGAGTAAACTTCAACCCGAAACTCTCTGTATAATCATCCGACCTCACTCTTAAGGTCGCCTATCAGTCGCGGACTCGCTTGTCTGTGAATTATTAATTAAAAGCCTATCATGATGCGGTAATTTGAACTTTTGTCGGAAAAATATTTATCATAATCGTGCACACAATTGACTCCTATTGATCTTTTTAGATCAAATTATAATAAGCTTGATCTAATATTCTGTACAGGTGTATATAAATTTTATTTTTAACGTCTTTTTTTAATGCTGTTTTTATTTTTATACGAAAGAAAAAATGTACTGCCATTAAAAATTTTCTATCCTTTTACGTCATGTTTGTTTTACTTTATTGATGTTATCTGACCGCGAAAAGTAATAATCGTCCTTCCTTTTCGCTTTCAGGGCGCTATATTGACGACCATGCTGGCGACGCGGAACTTTTCCAGTAAGTATGATGCACAGGGTAAGTACCTCCGGCCCTCTTCAGCGCTCTACACGGACCACGACAGACAGTACTTTTATATCTTCCGTTAAACTTTACATCTCCATATCTCTGTATACATTCCTTCAACAACCCACCATAACAAAATTATCTCTCTCCTTTTTTCCTGTCGTTTATTCGTCTTGCACTCTCGTCACATAGAAAAACTATTCATCTGTCTTTTCGCTCTTTTCGAGAGGTGCTTTATAATGCAGTTGTGCAGTGTCGTCATTATTAAATACGTTATCTTACACCACTGTAACGCAATGACAAACTGTCAATTTTATCTTGACATTTATGAGGATTAATACAAAATCTTTTTGCACATTAAGTTTTCTATTGTATTGATATTTTTTTTTCTTTCTCGTAGAAACGACTGCAGAATGGAGCATCTGTGTATATCTTTGCTCGTGCACAGAAATAAATTAGAGCCCTATCTTTGACAACCCCTTGTATTAAATGATCGAAGGAGCGAGGTTGAGCAAGGAATTAAAAAGTTATAATAACAGCATGATGGTCATGGATAATTGACCGTATCGGTTATCCGAAAATTAAATGTCCATGCGGCATTTTCGTGGCTAATTAAGCGCTTATTAAACAAATAATCATATTTTATCCTCGCTCACTCGGCATATTGGTTATCACGATATGATGTTCATCCCTACCTATTTCGTATACTTTATATAGTCGATGCACATGGCTCGCACTTCATATCCTGCAAGGACTGTGGCACGTTACCCAGAGCGCAAGAATTTACAATTAGTTGTTTATATTGGATATATATATATATATATATATGATTTATTTTATGTCGTATAACATAACTTATATCACTCTATATAACTCTCGTTATAAAGGCAAGCAACTATCCCAAATTTTAATCCTTTCGTTGCAGTATCATAATGTTTTTTTAAAGTTACTAGTAAGCAAAAATTGTAATTGTACATTGATCACTTTTATTGTATTTACGTAAACTATAAATGGTGCAAAGCAACATTTATATTAATAAGAAGATATGTTTATTGTTTATGAAACTGTTACCAGCATTCAAATGTTTATATATAAAGTGTATGAATAATGAAAGGATTAAGAAAATATGTATGTTTACAATTGAGAAGTAAGGTATTGAATTCCACGCACATACACGTTTCTTGCGAAACGAAAATTCTGGGTAACGCAAATTGTCGTCGCAGTGGACTCAAGCAGTTTTCTCTTTCATCGAATCGCCATCGTTATCATCCATTGAAAAATAATTTGATACAAGCTAGGCAAATCATTGGATTATCTTGTGTTTCTTCAGAACATTCTTTCAATCGCTATCGTAATCAATCGTTTAATCAATCGTTTATATCGTGAGTGATCATTTATCGTAAGAACTACAACAGCACTCAGGGATCTCTAGAAATTCAATAAAATTCAAATCCAGTTAGATCCACTGTGCATCCGCTTAAACATCTGTTTACAACAAATTTTATCGTCTACACAAAATTTTTCATTGAAAATCGCTTATCCGGAATTTTTTATTTATTTCAACAAACTTTTTGCCCAAGCTTGTAGGAATAATATCTACATAGAAAACGAAGTTATTAATACTGTTGTATTATCGAGATGTCTTCTCCATTATCATTAAAATTAGATTTTATAATTATTTTTTAAATCAATAATTAAAAAAAATTAGGGACACACATACTTGAATTAGAATTTTATGATTGGTAAAAAATGCAAATCTATACGCACATTTTATGTCCCGTATTTAAAATGGATAATAATTGTTTTATCTCGATGTTACTGGTTTTTATTCTCGAGAAAAACCGTACGTAACAAATGTAGGAAAACGTGAAAATAATCAGGCAGTCGTGTCGTCATAATAATGTTTAATATCTAAAAATTGAATTTAATCACTTATCATGACGCAAACGAGTAGCTTATACGAAATCTCTAACTGCACGGGTATTAAATTAATTACTACAAAGCTGGTAAGAGTCAGCGCAGAATAATCAATTAAATCAATTCGATTTATTTGTTTCAAAATAGACTACATCGATTATTTCTAATTTTCGATTATCGATTTCTTAATGTTGTGCGTTGTGAATCATGATTGGAACGAAGAAATTTTAATTAGAAAGATAATTAGGATAAAGAGATGAACCAATCGGAATTAAGATTTTGATAAAATAGTAACGCAACGCACACAACAATAACTGTATTATTAGAAATGATTTTATGATTGTGCAAAGAAAACGCGTAATTGTGTGCTAAATTGTGACTTTTAAAAATTAGATATATCGCGAATGTAAATATTTAGCGAAATTCTGGAAATTGAAAAGCTCTATGAAAGGCGAAAAAACTTCAACGGATCGAAACGAAAAATAGCTCAACTGTTTCGGTCCACTAGCGAGATTCCCTATGAATGACTGTACGTTTTATTAATGTTGATTATTTCCATATGTTTGTGTCAATGGTTTCCAAACTTTTCACTTTTTCATCTTTATAATTATATATCTTCTGTCTCTCTCATTTTTAGAGAAAAAGAGAGAGAGAGAGAGAGAGAGAGAGAGAGAGAGAGAGAGAGAGAGAGAGAGAGAGAGAGCGAGAGACAGAGAAACAAGCAAACGTATTGAAAAGATTTTTTCAAAGGTTAGATAAATAATGGAAAAGTATTTACAGTTCTCTAATTAATATATGGAGTACAGAAAAATTCATTCACAATTAAAATTACAGAAACAACTGTTTAATTTTTCTTTTCTTAAATTAAATTAAATATATCAATCATTACACTTAATATATTTTCAAGTTTAATATATCATCTTTTTTCTGAAAATATTTTTAGTTTGGAAACTTTTGATCATCGGATTGGACACAGCCCTAAATTTAGACCAAATTGCGCTTTTTGACTCTTATTCGTGCTAAAATATATTTGACATATTATATAATAAATGTTTGGAAAATTAAAATTAGTTTTTAGATACCATTGATGTCGATTTATATAAAAATATTGGACATTACATAGATCATTGTTGTATTCTTTAAAGTTTGATAATAAATTATAATACATTGTTAGAAATGTATATATAAATGTATATATAAAATGTATATATAAATAATCATTAAGTATGAATAAAATTTAAGAAAGTTGTACATTTTATAATTTATGAAACATACATTTAAATTTGAATGAACAATATATAAATATATAAATATTTAAATTTGTATTTTTACGAAGTACGTATAATACGTAAATTAGCAAATTATTACAAAGGTAGTAAAATATATGTAGAAATTACAAATTGAAAAAAAAGAAGGAAATTTTTTTAAATAAGCACTCTCAGCTGTGATTTGTGCTGCATCAGTTTCAGTTTTTACATAAAAATGAATCTACTCTTTTAAGAGACGAGTGCGAATATGGGTCATTATAGGCATTGCATATATGCATACATATATGTATATGTACACATCTCGCTACTATTTGCTCGAATAGCGTAAATACATGCGGATTCGTTCCACACCCGTAATAGTTGTTTGACAGATAATATGTCACGTTATGTATGGCATATGCATCTATACATATATGTATGTACATATATAGGTACGTATATGTATAGACAACCGAAGAATATCCCTAGAGTGTGCCTCGACCCTCGCCCCTCGCCCCTCGCCCCTCGCCCCTCTTTTTAGATTGACAAGTAGCTAAGCATCTTGCATTAGTAGATTCGATGATACACGTGTACCATATATCTGTATAACACACGTGCGTTTTATCTTTTACAATCGGTGTTAGAGTATGTACATATACGTGTCTATGTCTATTTTTGTAATTTTTAATGATATTTCAAGGATATGCTCACATATTTATATAGAATGTCGGGAGTAGTTTGCGTAGTTTGTCGCGGATTGTTGGATTAAACAATTACACAAATCGAAGATTATTTTGAATCGAGAATTTACATGATACTGAAAAATTCTGCGATATCCTTAGGCCTGAATAACTTCCTATTGTGACAAAAAATTAATTTATCTGTTTCGGAAAAGTTAAAACATGATTAGTATTTATGTTTAAATAACATTTGATATAAGATATGCCAGATTTTTCTTCTGTCTTGCTGCAATTGAAGAATTAAGACTGTGCAGTTTATAGTTTGTACTATATGATTGTAAATAAACGTGGAATTTTTTATCTACAAAAATACCTCGGTTAAACTTGAATGTTTTATTTTTTTTTTTAGCTTTATTGTATTTCGCAATCTTGTAAATAGACAATTATTTGCAGCTTTTGTAAATTTTATACAAATTATTTCTACTATATAAAAAAAAATAATGTACGTGATAATAGTTAATCGATTTTTCAGAATATCTTATATTTCGAAGTATCATTTTTGGTGATGAAAAATTTTTTTGTCACCAGTTATTTCTTAATACTACGATCTTGTATACTGTGACGGAAAATTGTTCTCGAGTGAGATGATATCGTTTTTATTTACATACGAACGGCTGTTCTCTTTCATATCCTCTCGCCCATCCTCGTTCTACATTCGGCGCGAATCTTTGTTCGAGCGACTGCGAAACAATTAATTCTCCGTCTTCTCGTGTCTTAAGTTTTCTTCCAATGTCCTTCCTACCTTTCTTCCTCCCTTCTCTCTCTCTCTCTCTCTCTCTCTCTCTCTCTCTCTCTCTCTCTCTTTCTCTCTCATAGAAACCGTCGCTCGAACTTTGACTTTAATTAAATTTATTTCATCGCCTTGAGCCGACTCTCGAACTGTAAGCTCTTCCAGCTTTTCCGCGCTTCCCTCTTGGCACGCGACTTCATTCCCCACTTTGGATTTACCTTTTGCTTTTGGGAGAGGGAGAAAGGCTATTATCCTTGAGCTTCTGGCACACTGTTATTATGGAAATCGGCTTTAAGAGCTCCGCGACAAACTCCGGACGAAATACAGATCGAGAGCATCGATGGTTTGTTTAGTCGAATTGCTTTTCGCGTCGTATCT